ATTTAGTACCGAAAAACGTAAAAAAATGCATTTGCTATGGGTACCAGGCCACCGCGGATTATATTTGAACGAAATGGCGGACTCTTTAGCAGCAGTATCCCTGGGTGGGCCCACCATCCCAGTTTTGCCAGATACGGCTTACGTAACCGCGCTAAGGTTCCGAAATGCTTGCCTGCAATGGGGAAAAAGTAATTTGGATAAATTCAAAGACTTCAAGCATTTGAGCTATTGCTGGAATAAACAGTGGTGTGTATCTCGCCAGTTAGAGGTCACTTATACCAGATTGCGCTGTGCAGTTCCACAACTAAATTATTACCTTAACAAAGCTCGGCTCAAGGCGTCACCGCTATGCATTTGGTGCAACGAAATTGAAACAATTGAACATTTCTTTCTATTCTGAGATCGTTATTTTTAGCAGAGAAAAAGATTTTTAGTAGCCCCATTACAAAAGCTAGGAATACAAGTTAATCTACCAGTAATTTTATCACTTGGCGGAACTTCATTTCGTTACTGCCACAGGGATGTAGGCTTCGCTGTGTTTGATTACATCAACGCAACTATAGGATTACCATGCTAGTGAACCCCTACCTTTTCAGATCTTTAGTTTATAATTCGTAGTTATGTCTTTCAAAAACAAAAGATGGTTTGACCACTTGCGCAGCAAACATTTTTGTTTTTGGTAGTAATATTTAAGCTACATTTTCAGATTGGCTTCATTTTCATTTTAGTTTCATTTAAGTATCCTGCCACCCGGTTCTTGGCCCATCCCCCTTTGTGGGTAAGCGTCATCCATCAGAGGTCATCACCATCAGCATCTATACGCAAGAGCAAACATGATGGTCACTTTAAAATTGGTGGGTGCAATTGATCTAATACTGAAGAGTAACCACGAAATTTTTCGTAGTCTGTCACAAATGTGAGCCATATGATCATTCCAGGACAGGTTGCTATCGAAAAACACACCAAGATATTTTATAGAATTAACATACTCAATAGGTGTACACTTACAGGAGGCACAATTACGGGCATGAAGAATTAGAGGTGCATTCGTAACCATTGCTTTCAATGAATTTTAAAGCAAAATAACTTCGTTTTTTTCTGAATATTCACCAGGCAATTATCCGTAAATGATGACGCAGCCTCATAAACACTGTTTTGTAGTAGTGACAACGCTTTATTGTAACATACATGTTTCGTTAACAGAACAGGGTCGTCTGCGCACTGAAATACAAACATTTTGAAACAGCAGCAGTAAAATCATTTATGAATAAATTATATAGTAATAATAATAATAATAATAATAATAAAAATAAGAATAATATTAATCACTGCCCAAGCACTCTATAGGAATTGTTACCGAGCGAGAACTGAAGCCTTCCACAACTATCAAAGACGATAGTACTTCTTGGAATGCCTGAACGCAAAAAGTTTGGTCTCCCAAGCTATCTGTGTGTCCGTCCTTTTGAGTCTGTCACCGGATCAGTGATACGAACCTAGGACAGTGTTTTATATAGATTAGTCAAGCTAATTCACTTCAACAAAGCACGACGGGGTCCACTAAAGCTTGAGTGATCTATTTATGTGACAGGAATGGCACATAAAAATAACTATGATACGACGACAAATAAAAAAGCTTCCGTCAACAGTAGTCAAACCTATGACCTATAGGTACACGACAACAGATGCCGGGCACGATATCCACGGCTTATGGTCATATTGTTTCTTGCAACACAACCTATGCGTTTAAAAAACGCCTTTTGTATCTACCACTGTCCTCTCACAGCGTTCTTGGTAAAGTGCAGAAATTAGGTATGACCGCGAAATCTGCCAGTAGTTCTTTCAACGCGTCGTTTCTAAGGATCCGTCTCATTCTATTTTGTGAACACCTTAATACACCCCCGGTGGCGACCTTACCACGAGCGTCAGCGTCACTCAAGGCATCCATTCATACCAAACATAGCTCTGCAACCTCTGGAATACTACGTCCATGGTGGTCTAGTGACTAAGCTGCTCGGCTGCTGACCGTGATCGAATCCCGGCTGCGGCGGCTGCATTTTGGATGGAGGCAGAGACGCTGTTGGCTGGTGTGCTGAGATTTGGGTGCACGGTAATAAACCCCAGGTGGTCAACGCTTTTGGAGCCCTTCACTACGACGTCTCTCATATTCATATGGTGATTTTGGGAACGTTAAAGGGGTCGGGAAACGATTGCTCTAAAGCGACAATGCAAAGCTACCGGTGTCCACATGCACTAACTAGGTGACGTCATCACAAGTAATGCTTTGCCTATTGAGGAACGCGCAACTCTTCGGTACTTGCAAATGCGTGCAACTGGGACACACATCAGCGTCCTTGTCATACGCAGTCAGCGCTAACTCGAACTTTGGACGTCATATTGAGCAGCATCTTTGTAGGTCACGGATCACTTATGGCAGATGTCGATGAGCGCCTCTTGCGCGTGCTCGATATGCCATAGAGTTCCGCGTTCCACGATACGCAAAGCATCTATGCAGGTCCACTCGGGCTGATGACACAGTTAGCGCATGTAGCTGCCAATGGTGCCGCATTGTCGTTGTAAAGTGGTCATTACACAACCCCTTTAAACCCCACATATCGATCAATCAACCTCTGGAATGCGCCTATTTTGCCTGGATATAGGTACGTTTTGCACAATAAGCTCGCCCCGCGATTAATTGCGGCCGGCCAAAGATAATGCACGACGCGCATTGCGTTCTGCTCTGGTCGGCAGTAGTATTCAATGACTCCAACATGCCACGAGTAGGTGACCTTAGACAAAGTTCGGCATCTAGTCAGTGCACTTCTGGCTCTCACATTGCTTTTAATGCGAATGCATTTCTTGGTCAGGCTGTGACAAGCATCCCACGTTCACCGCGGCACCCCTCTCACTCTCCACGATCACACCATCTACCATAGCGACAGCTGTGGGCGCGCGCGCTTATATTTGCCCCTAAGAACTGCATGTGGTGCGAGAGAGTGTAAGAAAGGGTAGGTGCAGTGCTTCGCTGATCCGTCTCTCTCCTTTCTTCGTCACACTTTCCCGTACGCTCGCACCTCACTCTCTTAGGGACTGCGCCGTGCCCCCTACCGGGCTGCAGAAATTAGATGCCTTCTTCCTCTTTTAACCAATATCACCACCAACACTCGACCGTTCACTGGCTGGGCGCCTCTCAAGAACATACGGAAATGTGTGCTCGAGGCGCCACTGTGAAACGCCAATGCAGAGCCGAGAACGCTATATGTTTTTTTTCACTGCATAGTATTTTTTAACCTTGCACGCTAACTACTTGAGCCGGTGAACTACTAGAGCAGTGAACGGTGCTATTGGTTGCACGGTGTAAGAAAAAAAAACATTATTCTTGTAACGCTCGGTTTTGACGTGAGAAACTCAGTTATGGACGCCACGCAATGCATTCGCATTTCCTCACGTTTCCCTTCAGGAACGTGTGGGCATTTTTTTCAGCTTGATTTCTACCATTCTCTTTTCATTTCAATAAACTTGCAGGTATAAAAGAGCAATAAAACGTTTGTAGACCAAAAAGTAGGAGAGTAAAGCACTGAAGAATTCTGCGATTTCAAATATGTGGCATCGTGCAGCGCGAATGTCAACCGAGATCGCATAGCAGCGTTCTTTAGAACAAAACGTTCGCTGGAGTATAGCTGACAAACGATGGCAGTACGTAGACAGCGACTCAAATAAGCTGTGAATTGAGTGAAATTGGGGGAAGTTATTTCCTGCAACTAGCTTGTAAGCTTGGGTTGTGGTAAAAACAACATGTTGACATTGTAATGAAAGTTTTTCACACGCAACTGCCTTTAAATTGGCGAGTTCTCCAGTGTATATGGCGCCGAATGAGTGCTTAAACATCACGGTTGCGGGCTGCGCTGATTTACACTCCCAGAGTTTGCATGCACATAAATACAGTGAAATATGGACCAATGAACCACCGCCGCTTTAGGTCGATGGCTAACAGCATTGGCGGCGTAATCTGAATGTTGCTGGGTTAGTCCCTTCTGGAGGCAAGTTATGTTTTTGTCCACCTAACTTTCTTCGCGTCTATGACACAAATACTACAATACACCTAAACGGCACAATTACAGTCTCCTATACTTTTTTTAGGATTCAATATATTCTGGCTTTCATTGATGTCATACGTTTTACACTCTAAAACTTCAAAAGTGGGATGAAGAAAAGACAACAACAAAACTACCAGGCACGTGTGCGTCACGTACGACTATTATAATCCATTAGGTTCAAGGTGTGTTAATCCAACCACACGCTCTTGTACACTAATTTTTGACACTAGAAAAAGAATGTCTGCAGCACTGAGTGACGGCAACCCAAGCCACAACACCACTGTTCCATTTAGGTAGCGCCGCCTTGGCCTGGTGAATATCGCGCTTTGCTGCTCACCTGAAGGATGCGCAATCGGATCCCGGCTGCGGCAGTCGCATTTCTATGAAGGCGAAAGTACCATACTTTCATATGCCTGTGTATATCAGTGCACGTTTGAGAATCCTAGGTGATCTGATATATCATGAGCACTCCACCGGGGAGTCTCGCATAGACTCAGTCGCTTCGAACAGTTCCATCCTGCAGACCAACCAAAATTGTATATTTCATTGTCGCCATAAGGTTCTTAAAAGATTTGTGGCTCACTCTTAGTCGTTGAATAGAGACACGCAGCTTTTGCGAAAACATCATTAATCCACTCGGAGCATTTCTTTATTTCAGAAACATGGCAAGTGCTTCACCGTAGCTCACGTGGCGACTCGCACCGCGCGTTGTCCATGTGGCTCATGTGACAAACTGTGGCAACCATTGTTTTGTTTTTGTTTATAAATTCATTAACGTTGCAAAATGCCTCATACGTGAAAATCTCATCGTACCAAGGTTCTGTGAGTTCGGCAGCAGATTAATCCTTTCTTTTCACCTTAATTTAGCTAGCACGTACACTTGTGTCTTCATTCCATTTTTTTCAGGGTGGTCACTTTCTGTTCGCCGAGCATGTCGCTCACAAGAAAGGCACTCTTTCAAGGTTTATACAGGATCTCCTGACTCCACTGACCAAGAACTTTGGCTGCGGCTGCCACCTGAATCGCGAAAGTGGCGTTTTGTTGAGAAGCGCTGGCTTCGCCAGGATAGATATAAACATGGCTGACATCAATGTGCCTCTAATGTTTAGCCATAACATTTACGGTGTAGCGATGGCTTGAATCATGTCTAATAAAGCGAGCTGTTTGACCGCAATAATTGCTTACAACGTCCTCGCTACACAACGCCAATCTACTTCTTTAGGTTTCGCGGCTCCTTCGCGGAACGTTTTGTCATATAGAGTGCTTGGTGGATGAAATAAAATATGCTGCAGTAATTATGATTACTCAGTCACTTTCACAGCATGCCTCACATTAAAGAAAAAGATTTTAATGCCTGTCGTTGGATCAACACAGTACAATGTTATAAACTTCTCCGCAGACACACGATTGTCGAAATCGCTCCTCCCAGAATCCACCCTTAGACGCGCAGTGGGCTACTTGCACTACTTCCAGTGTGGGAGTTCACTTGTTTTGCTCCCATCTTTGTTTGTGTACCTCTTAGTAGCCAGCCAGGAAGGAATCTTCGTACAAAAGCAATCGCCAATTACAGTCTGGCTAGTCTAGCAAAAAGGTGACTGCGATAGCGTGTAGTGACTTTCCTGGCAAGTGTTCATGCAACTACGTCGTCTCACTTTGCACGAAGTAATACAAACGCTCTTGGGTTTCATTAGGTAATTACAGAAAAACGTTGCACACATCATTCTCATGAAAAGTGTATAGTTATTCCTTCTTATAGGAACCTAAGTACCCTGACTTAGAAAGCAAAGCATGGGGGACCGTAAAGCAGAACGGCCAATGAAGAGAATGAAAAAAAAAACGCCAGACCTGCACGGAAGGTGTAGCATAGTCACAGCGAAAGCTAAAAGAGCGGCCTTTCAGAGCTTTTCAAAACACTCATTGGATAACAACTGCAAGCACACTTTCTTGATACCCAGTAGGCCAATAATGATAAATTTTGTTAGGTAGTAGGCCGACATTCGCAGTGCTATTTTTTCGTCATTCTTCTGAAAAGCGTCGCATCCGCTAAACACCTGCAAGGAATTTTGCGCCAATTGTTCATACAGTGGCTAACGACGATGAAAAAATGGCTGAAGTGGTTGAGCACCACTGTTGATAGGAGATTAAGAACAAGCTTTTGTAATAGGTTGAGCATTGAATGACCCACTTTTTACGCCATTCGCAATGTGCGACGACTGCTTGTTCTTTCGCTGTTTTAAAACGCTTTATAAGTTGTATTAACACAATGCTTCCCTGACATCAAGCCTGCCTAAGGCAAGTTTGCCAACAAGTCCCAAGCACCGGTGTGGCTCAGTAGTAGAATACTAGGCTGGCACCAAGTTTTAAATGCGAAGCATTTCTTAGTGAACTTCGGCGACTTTGAGCGTATGTATCTATCTATCTAGCCGCCTACGACCTTTAGCTCTCCTGACCATTTCGATAAAGGTATCGATAACAAAATTGGTATGGCATAACATGACTGTAGGAAGAACGCATTTCACTAATGAGATAGAAATAATGACATCCCTTTTGAAACGATCCGTATGCGATGTCCAATAATTCCGTATGTTTGCGTATAAACACATATGTTTCCTATATATTTTCCACATATTTCTGTGAGATTCTTACGGAAACATACGGAATTATCGGACATCGCTTACGGATCGTTTCAATAGGGATATATGTCATTATTGTCATGATTTGCATTTTATGGTCCTGCAGCTCTTGCTGTGGTTTCGTTCACATGGCATGTAGCAAAACTGGTACGGTATGGCATGATTGAATAGCAAACTCTCACGGATGGCCATTTTTGGCGATATCCGCGTCACGGCAATTAACGGGCGCCGTACTCCCCCACTGACCATGGGAACGGCGGGCGCATGAAACAGAGCCGAGAAGTGCAGAATGGGGTGCTCTTCTTCGAACGTCGCCGCCGACGTTTGATCCTTTGTAACTGCGGCGGCGTCTGCAGGGTCGTGGAAGGCCGCGATGTACCCCGAACAAGGATTAGACTACGGTACACACCGGCTGAGAGTCCAACTGTCTGACCGTTCCCACGGGAATACCGCGGGAAAACTTCTGGTGTCCAAGCCGTATGACAGCACCCCAACAGGTTGTCACTCTCGCTAGTTGAGGGACCTCTCTTAATTAAAAAGGGGTGGGGTCAATATATTTTTGGGGCGGAGTTTCCATCAATGAAACGTGCATTATCGGACCCATGTATAAGTCTCTTGTCCCCAAGAAAGAGAGCGAGGGGACACGAGGGGGATTTAAGCGCAGGATTTTGCCCTGCTCGGCAGACTAGCCGCTGACCAACATGGTTCAGAAACAGATCAACAAGTATCTCTTCTAGAAGTTTTTAGTGTGGCTCTGTATCGGCTGGCCACCTAAACTTAGCCGTTCGTCTAGTTGTGACGCGATATTAACGTCTGCAACGTAGACATCGGGACTTCGCCTCGAGTTAGCTCAACCTGCCCGAGGTCACCTGCAAGCACTAGCCTCCCGGAGCCACCAGCGTTGCAACACCGCCGACATCGCAGTCGGGCCAGAACTCTCTTCGACTTCTCGCATCCGATCATCGGGGACGCAACGCTGCCGGTCATCACACGTATGCCTTCACCTGTTTATATCTTCGAACTTTCTCCTCCGTAGTTCTATTGTTGTGTACTTTGTAATAGTTCTCTCTCGTAAGCTGATTTATTGTTTTTTATATGTATTTTCTTAGTTGTATCAAGTGTTGACGTATTTTGTTAGTTGTATTGAAGTGTTGTACTACATGCCGTGTGCTGCAATATCACTAGAGTAAAGTTTGTTTTGTTTTCTCGCGTCTCTGATCTCTTCACTGTCTCTGCTTGCGTACGGAACGAACTAACCTGCTGTCATTCCCGTCGCTGACTTCGCACTGGCGACGCTAGAGTGGCAGCTTCTAACACAAACACAAGCGACAGACCCTGACATCAAAATCATGACATGCGTGTTATGTAACATGATTACATGCCACGCTCATGATGCGCTCGCGGCCGTTTCGCTAGCCTCACATATGCCAAGTTTGGTATTATAGTACTTAAATGGATGGCGAAGGTATGTCACTGATGTAGACATGATATTCATGAGAAGCGTGTCATGTAACAACTGGACTACATACCACACTCATGATGTGCTGGCGGCCGTTTCGCTAGCTTCACTTATACGAAATTTGGTATTACTGGATGTGAATAGATGACGAAGGTATGATACTGGTGCAAACATGATAAACATGATATGCGTGTCACGTAACAACATGTCTACATGCTATGCTCATGATGCGCTCGCGGTGGTTTGGTAGTTTTCACATGTTTCAAACACGGTATTACGTGATGCGAACGGATGATATAGGTAAATTACACACCCAAACAGGATAATCACGACATGCGTGTCATGTAATAACATGACTACATGCCGCACTGATGATGCGCTCGCGGCCGTTTTGCTAGCTTCAAAAATGCCGAATTTCTTATTATGTGATGCCAATGGATGACGAAGGTTTGTGACTGGTGCCAACATGATAATCATGAGATGCGTGTCATTTGAGAACATAACTACATGCCACAGTCAAGGCGCCAATACATTTCGACGTGACGCGGTGCGCATGCTCGCCGGCGTTGATTTCCTCGCGTCACGCCAGCTTTTTCACGCCAGGCACCGGTGCTGCCATATACTCGCAGGCGCGCGGCACACTGCGTTGCTTTGACGCATGCGCGTTTCAGCGTGTCCGGCGTCCCTCCATCACGAAAAGAGGGAGACGTAGTGTTCTCTGGGTAACGCATCGGTACGAAATGCAGCATGTCGGATTTCTTGCCGGTTGCAGTCGGGCCGTGCCGATGCTCATTGGTCACACCTGGCGTCAGAATATATAGTGCTTGCGTTTCGCAAACGCAGCGTCGCTGTGCTTAGCGTGCTTGCGCGTCAACGCTACATAGGAGTATATGGGGCCCTTCATTAGGCGCTCGAGGCCGTTTCGCTAGCTCCACATAGACCAAATTTGGTGTTACGTGACGTCAATGGATGATGAATTATATTACTGGTGCAAACATGATAATCCGGACATAGCCGTGAGCCTGCTATGACCTTAGCATGTAGTCATGGTATTACATGACTACATGCTAAGCTCATAGCAGGCTCACGGCCATTTCGCTAGCTCCACATATACTAAATTCTCTATCACGTTACGTGAATAGATGATGAATGTAAACGACACATTCAAACATAATAATCATGACAGGAAATTCATGCACGGCAACATCTACCTCCACCTCGTAACGTTGAGCTAATATTAAAGTGACATATCAACATTTCTCATTCGTGCTTCGCATATCATCGATTACCACTGTACGTGGGATCTGCCAATTTTTTTTTTCAAATTTCGCGCGATGTGGTTACGGACACCGGAGGCGGCAGTTGAAGACACCTGCGCGTGACTCGAGGCTTGATCTCATAACAGCTTTTGGAGTAAAACTTCATTTGTCACTCCTAACTTATCCAGCACAAATTTCGAAAGAGTGCACAGGTTAGACAAGAATAGTGACAGCAAAAAGAGGCCTATCACTGCGAAAATTACCTTCTATAAGGACAAAGAGTGCATCTTGTCCACTGCAAGAAAGCTTAAAGGGTACAAGTTTTCTATTCGGGAAGACTTTTCTCTTGCCGCGCGAGAGGCAAGAAGAAAGCTTATCGATTTCGCCAAGGCCAGAAAAAAAAATTCTTTAAGCTATCTGTTGACAGATTGCGCATGGACGACGCAACATACGTGTACGACCACGCAACAATCATGGTAAATCGACTTGGCAGATAGCTAAGGCATGGTACTCGCACCTGTTAATTCAAGCAGGCACCTGAGCCTCAAAATTTATCGTCACTCACCATATTAATTACCAATGTTCGCAGCCTTCTGCTAAAGCTCGACCAGGTCTGTTCCTTCCTTGATGACACAGGTTATGACATAATTATCTTCACTGAGACATGGCTGCATGCAGATAGTTTAGACAATAAAATTATTCCCCTACCAAATAATTTCAACAATTACCGTTGTGATCGCGTTAACAGGAGGGGTGGAGGCCTAATTATAGGCATTAAAAAGGCAATCACCACATATCTAATGGCGCGTGCTACAAGTATAGAAATCGTATGGGTTGTTTGCAGAGCTGGATTTGAGAAATTATTGATTGGTTCCAGCTACCGCCCTCCAGACACTAATCCATCAATTCTAAGCGACTTGCGAAGCGCCATAACTCATGCTGTT